CCAATCCCACATAGGAAAACTAGAAGAATATAAACCACCTTATATAGCTCAAGTTTGGGACTTGGGTTTGGGCCCCAAGGGGTACCAATAGTCTTTGAAGGGGAGAGAACCTAAATGCTAGTAGGTTAAGTCAAAGCCCACGCGCGCGCCGCCACCGCCGTCCGTCCGACCGGCCGGCTCGGCTCGACACGTCATGGTCACGGGTCGTGGGTCTTGGGCTTCGGCCAAGCCAATATATATATTTTTTGGTAAAATAACATTTAATTATATTATTATTTTATTATTACAATAATAATATATTTTATGTTATTAATTTTTTCTTCCCTGAAATTTCTGTGTGTGACACGTGGTACGGAGCTTCTAGAAGTTAGCGGTTGACTGTCCAAATGACGGTTGACTGTCCAAAGTGGCGGTTGACTGTCCAAGTGACGGTTGACTTTCCAAAGTGGCGGTTGACTGTCCAAACAGTTTGTGTCTTTTGGACACAACTTTTCGACAGTTGTGTCTGTTTGGGACACAACCTTTCAACATCTATAGATAGGCATCCATACTCCCGTTTTTATTCATTCCAAAAATCAGAATTGATTTTCTACTCTCCCGAAATTATCCCTCTGTCCTTGCATAATTTCTGTTTTATAATTCAGTCCTCGAAAATTACTTTTCGTGCATTTCACTCATCCAGTGTGTGTGGAGAGATCTAAACATTACGAGTTCGTCGGGTCTTGTAATTTGGAGTACTACTATTATAAGACGAGGTCGTTGTATCTTGGGAAACGAGTGCTGCAATACCGTTAGTACCAGTGCGGGGCATTATCGTTTTAAGGAGAAAGAGTCGAACTCTTGCTTCGACCGTTCAAAACCATCCAAACGTCGTTACTCTGCCCAAATAGAAATTACAGTAATACTATTATTTGCTATTATTTTATAACACATAACATTGGTTGCCACCATGGCTAGCAAGAGAAGCAAATTTTGACACATTGTGAAACCCATATTCAATATTTTTGCTATTTTTTTGCGAGGAATTTCTACAATTTATGCAGATGCTCTTTAAACATGCATACACACTACTGTGGGAGCGTGTGACTTTGGTGGCTAACAACTATCAATAATGTATGTTTGGTGGATTAAGTATAATATTGTCTAGATGTGATAAAGGGTTTTGGGCAGTTGCGTGACTGCTTCACTAATTTCTACTTCCTCCATTCGGGTTTGTTAGTTCTTAAGGACTACATTTTACTTCATCTACCTACTATATATAATGTTCTTGTAAATAATTGATATCTGTGTTTAGCATTGTATCTCTGATTGCAGATGGTAGTGGCCAGCTTTAAGGCTTATGACTTTGAGGAAAAAAAATGTCAATCAACTTACTGGAGCTTGCATTTGCTTTGCAAGTGAGCACAGGTGATGCAACTGGTGCCACTAGCTCACCATCGAACGTGACTTTTAGCGAATTCTCCGGTGTCATGTAAATCCACTAGATGGCAACAAGTATATCTCACAATGCACGTCTGGCATGGCTGGCAATTGATCTTTTCATGAAAATAGTAATATGAGAACTCTGTATTCTTATTATCATTGTAAGGACCATAGGATGCTTTCTACCTTGACTTCAATACTTTAGGAAACCACCTACTAGAGTTAGAAGTTCAATTCGTATGTGTTACAGTTTATTGTAGTAGTTGCTGTTAATAGTTGAATTTTCATCCCTTTGCTTTCTTAATTATTGATATATCTACTTGGTAATTTTATATCATAATGGCATGGCTTGTGTACTAAAATTTATTATCTAGTTTTTTGTTTCCATAAACTCGTGAATTGAGCTCAAATGCTCAAATTCGTGTTGGAGTTGCAGGTGTTATGTTTTAGCGTTTAAGATCCAGGTTCTTCTTGTTGCTATGGACTCCTAAAGTTTTGCTCAAGATGTTGGACATATTTAGTCCAATTCTCAATGCTCGTGTAGAAAGATGATAGGTACATGTTGTTTGCTTGGAGAGATACAAGACAAAGAAGTTTAAGGATGAACTGCAATACTTATATTTGTCACACATATCACTTACTTTCAAAAAACTTTTTATATGATTAATAGGGTGGTTGAGATAGGAAATGACGATAGTAGTGAATTGACTTAAAGAAGCTTAGCATTTTGATCTGTGTTTTGTCAACAAATTAGCTTAAAGATGTTGGGTGGTGAATGAAAAAAGGAAGAGGGATAGTATTTGTGTCACTTTTTTTTTTTTTTTTTTTTTTTTTTTTTTTTTTTTTTTTTTTTTTTTTTTTTTTTTTTTAATTTCTCTTATTTCCGTCACTTTATTGAACTTATTCCATTGTTTTAATTGGTGTTTTGTCACTTTTTTGAATTTTTGTCACTTTTTTTAGCATTTGTCATTTTTTAAATTTCTGTCACTTTTTATTAGTATCTGTCACTTTTTTTAATGACAAACATCAATTTTTTTTTCCTAAATTTTTTAATAAGTGGCATTGTGGCTTTTTTTTTTAATTAAAAAATTGACATTATGTCATTTGCTTTATTGTGTCACTTTTTAGAAAAGTAATACTCAATTTTATACAGTATTTTTTACTTCTAAAATACTTTTAATATGATTTTCCAAAAAATCCTTAATTTTAGACGTATTTTTGTAAGTTGCCCAAACTAAAGCTTGGTTACAAGTTTGGGCTCTGGAAACAGAGAGATATTCTTGCAGTTTTACAAACTCCCATCATACCTTCTTCAGAGAGATCCATCGTTCCTAGAGAAAATTTCATCGTATCTAATATATATATATATATATATATATATAAATTTTTTTTTTTTTTTTTTTTTGGTCCTTTTTTGGCTA